ATACATACATACATACATATACATATACATATATATATATATATATATATATATATATATATATATATGTTGTGTGTGAGTGTGTGTGCATGTAAGAGTGGGATGACCTTTGACTACAGAAAGCTTTGGCTTTGCAGCTTTTTACAGTTCTAAAAATGCCTGGCTGCATGGCCAGATGAGTCACACACCAAGCTCAGAACTCCAGCCAGGACTTAACACAAACTTCCTTGTGGCAAATACACACACGCACACATGCGTGTGTGTGTAGGCAGCCTGTATTAGACGTAGGGCATGTGCACAAATAAAAGCATCTGCTCATATTCAGCTTCAACCAGGTGTGCGTATTCTCTTCAGTATCAACTTAATCTGCTCATGTCCTTTAAAAAAGGATTTCACAGTATGCATATTTTTAGTTAGTTGGTTCTTTAGTTCTCTGACACCTTTTTTGGCTTTGCAAGAAGCGTAATTCAGCACCGTAAAAGACATTTAACGAGTGACAAAGTTTTCTTGTTTTTTTTTGTTATTTTTGAGAAACTACGTTTTATACTCAGCAGCTGTATCACACAGTCTGGCTGCTGCTCTAATTTGGTGTGAAAGCTTTTGCAGGCTTTTCTTTCAACAATAAAACAAGTGGTTCTGAAGTACTAGAAAAGATCATGTTCAATTAGATCATTGCAAAGCAACCCTTATCAAAAACAACATAGAAATCTACTCTTGCCTGAAGGTGCAGATTTTTTTTTTTTTTTTTTTGTTTGCAATGTGACCAAGAGGAGAAGCGGAGTAGACTGTAGTGCAGTGTCTGGAGCAAATTTAGTACATCCTCTCAACTCCACTCTGTTTGTTTAAATGTGAATAAATCATGTAAAAAGATACAACAGATGGCAAGCTGCTCTCTACATTGTATGTTGTCTCATACATATACTTTAGACGTTGTTTCTTCTTGTCATTTTTTCACATAAAAGCACAAACATACACAAAGAAACTGACTAAATTGTTCTCCTGGTGGGAAAAAAAAGAGTGCTTGTTTGTCTGTTGTGGAGGTTTATGTTCTACTCAGTGCTCAGAATATAAAGTACTTGTTTTCTATGCATCCCCTCACTTCAGTGAGAACAAAAGCCAACATTTAGGCAGGGAGATTTTTTTTGAGGGTTTACTCATCATTTTGCATTACCTGCAGAATAATATAATACAAAACATTTCTATTTATAAACCAGTGTTACTGAATAAGATTTTTCTTTTGCTGAACTAATTCTTTGTGCTGACTCATATGGGTCTTATTTCGTATTTTTAAAAACAATGTTAAGGCGTTTAAAATTAGTGTCTGGCATATTTGTGTTGAAAATTTCTGCTGTGGTAGCCACTACTTAAACAGCTCAACCTTTTGTTTCACTTGAATGCATCTTAATTAGTGATAAGAAATGACCTCTGGGTTTTGATTTGTGGCAAACTACAGAAATTTAGTTATTTGGCGTGAAAAAGATAAATAATTTTGGATCAGACTGAAACATGCACAATCACAAGAAGTTATTAAAGAATCTGTGACATGATTCCCACAAATACATAACATGGAAGAAAACATTTTATTATTTAGGAAATTTGAAATAATACACATAACTTTATCCATTTTGTCACATAACTGGCATGCTAATTTTATTATTTGGCGTGGCTAAAGTGAAACAGGGAATGACATCAAAGAGGAACTCTCTGGTCCTTGTTGGAACAATCTTATTTGAACTCAAAGGAATCTAAAGAATCAGATTATTTTATATTGTCTGTGTGTTATCCATTATAGCAATAACCTGTTCACATGCAGGAGTTCCACTTGGTCATCACTTTCTGTTACCGCACATTCAAATATCTCAATAAATGTTCACAGTGGTGCAAATTAATTAATTAATTTGCAAATAAATGCAAGGGGGAGTGGTGGTGCAGAGGCTAGAGAAGGTGGACCTGTAATCAGAAGATCGCCAGTTCAACTGTTCTGACAATCTCAAAATGTAGGTGAAGGTGAAACACCCACACCTGCCTCCACTCTCATTTGTCCCACTCTGGGGCCCTGAGCAAGGCCCTTAACCCCCATCTGCTCCCCTGGGCACCCTAGATAGTAGCTCTCTGCTCCACATGAAGGGCTGTGGTAGCTCAGTGGTCTGTGGTTGCATCAGGAAGGGCATCTTGCATAAACAATAATTGCCAAGTCTTTGTGTGACAGTTCACTGTGGCGACCCCTGAAGAAGAGAGTAGCCGAAAGAAAATAATATTTGCAAAAAATTATTAATGTTTTATTTCCTCTAGGCTGTGCATTTTACACATAGACCTTCAATTATGTCCTGCTGCCTGACTTTATCCTCCTCTTTATACCGTCTTTATGATGCCACAGCTGCAGAAACCATCAATAATACACAGAAAAGCTGAATAATTTGGTCCTGCATCACAGACAGGTGTCTCGTAGCAAGAATGAATTCCATTATGGAAGAAAAAATTTTTATTAACAACACAATTCAACAAGTTTCCTTCAACTGCAGCCACAGCTGCATCACATATTAATCAAAAGCATTAATATGATGTAATAAATTGACAAAAACATAAAAACAATTGAATAAAATGCATTTTACTCAGCAAGAGTTTTGAATATTTGTACACAAACCCAACCCTCCTTTATTTCCTCAAGAACTATTTGGTTCCTCTGTCCTACAGGTCATCATGGAGTTTCCATTTCAACAATAAGTCCTTTTCCATCACCATGAAATTTAATGCTGAAAGTGGAGCCTGCCCTGTCATGTTTCTGGCATAAGTTTTAATTTGTTTTAGGGCTGAGACTGTCCACTTGACATTTAGCTTGTACAAGACGCAACAGATTCATCCTAGTGTCAACCAGTACGCTCTCTCATCATCCAATCAAACAACATGAAATTGCTGATGTTGTCTAATGCCTTCTAGAAGGCCCCAGTATCACCAACTCAAAATCAGATTGGTTAAAGCAACAGTTATACTACCATTTGTTTGAACCTGCAGGTGTCTGCACTGTTGATTCTGAAGGCTTCGAGGCAGATTTATTTGACCCTAGCAACACATGATAGTCGAAATATGATTGGAAAAAAAAAATGAACATATGCTACTGGAAGCTGTGCAACCAGGAGAAAAGCTATGCAATGTAGAGAACAGACATTTCAAAATAATATTAATAAATGCAAAATCATACTAAAATGTAAGTAAGGAATCCTGATTGTGTTTACACCAGCAGAGAAGTCTAACCAACAGCATTCTGTCTGAGACCTAAACTAATAAATGCTATGTTAAGGATGACTGGTATTATTTGGGTAATGACAATGAGATCTAAATGTATCTTAAAATTGTCTGAAGCGCTACAATACTGTATAAAACTGTAATTATATGAAATTAAATAATTTATTATATTAAGAATATTAAAATTAGAATATTAAATGTATTTATAATAATTCTACACAGATCAAATGTAAACAATGATGCATTAATGTGAACATTTGGTTAAATCAAAGTGTAGAACGATTGCTACATTTGATGACCATCACTTTGCACAAATCATTGAAAGAAAAAGATGGGAAACATCTGGATAAAGTTATCTCTCAAAGTGAAAACTCAGAGCTTCTGGTGTCAGTAGAAAAGGGCAACACCTCACCAAATGTTATTGCTGTAGTGTATTATTTAAAGATCAGGGGTTGTGTATTGACCCAAAGTAGTGGACAAACTAATTATTTTTGTTCCCTAACTTTTTTCTTGCCAGAATGCGGGAATGGGGTCCTTGGATTTGTGGAGTAGGTGTATGGAGTCTACTGCTATCACTTTGTCTGGCCTCCCTCACGCATGCACACAGGAGCCACACAGGTAAGGATTTATGTCCGTATATCTGCTTGTGTGTCTCGTAAATATTGCTGCCAGTTGGTGGTTGCGTGTTTACAACACCCACAGTGTTGGATCTCTTGTAGATTACCACCGCGGGGATCCTCTGCAGCCAATTTCTTTTCATGTGTTATAAAGTTATAGTGAATAGACTGTGTGCTACCTGAGGGAACGTTGAGGTTAGATCTACAATGAAATATAGGACCACAGAGGCAGGTCGCCAGCTTCAACACTCACTAAACAAAGTTATTAAAAAAAACAGGAAAATGTATTATAAATATTCCTGTTACAAAGTCTTCTACATTCATGATGCTTTCTTTCTTTAGGCAGTCCCAATAGGATGGTGGGGTGACTCACTAAAACAAAATCAGCACAGATAAAGAGCAATATGTCCATGTATTAGTATTTTCCAACTATGTGATATCCTGCTAATGTTGGCCAAGTGGGTGGATCACTGCATGAAAAGGCTCAGGCTCAGACTGTTTGCCTCGATGGTTGTCAGTGATCATCTCTTGTTGAAAACCTCATTTCTCTATGGGAAAATGTTTATTGAGGAGCACTATGAATGTGCCATCTGTATACTAACAGGAACTTTTTTAAAACTGTATTTATCATTTGTCTGTGGTAATACTCAACTTACAAATCGTTGACATTTTTAGGATATGGGTGCACGCACGAGATGACTCCACACCAGTTTTATTAGCTGCAGTTTTGTAATTCTTAATCATCAACAAAAAGTTAAACAGTTCAAATAAATACATCAAAGTTCATGCTCAATCATCCAGGTACAAAATCCAATAATGGTCAGTCAGACAATTTAAGTGTCTCAACCAAGTGTCTTTAACCACTTTGGCTGTGGCTGCCTGCCTGTGAGGAGTCGACAGGGGACAGGACAGCCCCCAGAAACCATCTTATCACCAGCAAACTGGTTGGTCCAATAAAGGAGTGTACTGCTTAGTGGGGAAAACATTTTGCTTGGGACTCCTCAGACTGATGAAGCCCTCCGGATAGAGGGCGAAACATCTTTCCACATAAAGAAACTGTCCAGATGACCTGAATGACCATTATTGGAGTTCAAATAAAGCAAACTTCAAAATGTAATAGATACTGCTGGGCAAAAGTGAATTAGGCGTAGAGCTGATTTTATGTTTTCTGCTTATGTTTTTAATAATTGTTGTTTACTGAACAATGTTTTAAATGAAAATGATTGTCTGTTCATAAGCACATGACCTGGGTAGGAGTGTGGCAAACTGATGACAGATTAGATCTGGTTATGTACATTTATGCTGACGTTAGCTTGATTAGATGTGATAGATGAAGCTTTGTCCCTAGTTACCCATGTCCCAGGAGAAATTTGATAGGCAGCTCGTATCTGAGGTCAAACGGGGGAGTCAAATTCAGATAAGCCACGATTGTTGATTTTTCTTCAGGCAGACAGTTTTTTTTTCTTTTTCTCATCTGCCTTGAGTCCTGCTGGAAGAGTCCAGTCCAAAATGCCCAAATTTATGGGCATTCCACTTCACTGCTCTGTTACGAGCCTTCCTCAAGGTCGATCCCATCATGCTGACGAGTCCTAGGAGCGGCAGGTGGCCTGCGATTCTCACAAATCGCCTCCATCTTATTGTTTAGCTTGAAAATGAGCTGATTTTGCATATTCATAGCATGAACCAAACCTTCACACTGACTCGGAAGCTTTATCATGGCCGAAACTGCTGCCTAAGTCTTCTTCAAAAGTTGATAAAACAGAGCCCCGCCAATGTCAAAGAACTCCTGCTATCATAAAACCAAATATATAAATGTCTTCAGCATCCTCCTGAGACAGAACTGAGAGACACATCAGCTGCCAAATTCCCCACGGATCTCTGATGTACCCTACAGCGTGAGTCTCAGCCGGACAAGAGGGTTCTCCAGGACCCTGTCGTTTTGTTGAAAAGATTTTGTCGATTGCGTTGAAAGTCCAGCTCACCAGATCCATAATTGTATTTTTCGTTCGGGAGATGTGTACCAGGAGCTGTATTTCTCTATGCTAAAATTTATTCTGCATGCACAGAAAATCACAAAGAACAGAACTCTGAACCCAAGTTACCAACGGAGAGGATAATGTAGTGATCTGACTGGCAGGAGAAGCTGGATGAGTAAAGCTGCAGGAAAAAAAGTTGTTGTGAGAATATAGTCAAACATTGACGTTTTTTCAGTTTTTATTTTGTTAAATTGACTTTTGAAATTGGCCTGTTTTAAAAAAAAAAAATTCTAGAATATTAGTCAGAATATTGCACAGCTCTATATAGGTATTCCATTAGAAGCCGACTGAAAAAGAAAATGATCAGTCATTTCTTCTTTTCTCTGGAAAATAATTAATCTCAGATGAACACACTGGTCCTTTGGCCTTCAGTGAGGAAATTGAGAATTTCTTATAATTTTATTATTACCAGGCTCTTTATGGATTGTGTGCATTGTACTGAGAATTGGTGTCCTTGCTGAAATGTGTAGCTAGGCTTTGTGTGTTTGTGTTTTGCATCTGTTTGTGGGTGAAACAGATTCTGCTGCTTTCTGGCTGTCAGGTATTATCCCCTGATCTCAAAGAGAGATTCTTGACAAGACAAGGGCAAATATTTTCATAAAAAGAGGGCTGGTGAAAAAGACATATACAGTAGATGCTCTTAGTATGGTCAATTCAATTCAAAAATACTTTATTAATCCCAGAGGGAAATGATATGTTGTGGTAACTCATCATCCTGGTTTCATTAATGAGTTGTTCTAGATGCTGATGGCTGTGGGCAGGAAGGATCTCTTGTAGCGGTCTGTCCTACAACGGATTTGAAGAAGCCTCTGACTGAAGACACTTTGTTGTTGTATGACAGTCTGATGAAGAGGATGCTGAGGGTTGTCTATAATGTTCTTCATTTTATGGAGAATCCTTCTTTGTACAATCATCTCCAAAGGTTCTAGAGGAGTCCCCAGAACTGAGCCAGCCTTCTTTATGAGCTTGTTGATCTTTTTTAAGTCACTTGCTCTGGTGCTGCTGCCCCAGCAGAAAATGGCAGAAGAGATGGCGCTCTCTACAACAGACTTATAGAAGATATGCAGCATCTTGCTGCAAACGTTGAAGGACTTCAGCTTCCTCAAGAAGTACAGTCTGCTCTGTCCCTTCTTGTAGACGGTTTTATTGTTGCATTTCCAGTCCAGTCTATTGTCCAGGTGAACTCCAAGTTATTTATACTTCTCCACCACCTCCACTTCTACTCCCATGATAGAAATAGGGTTGGATCTGTTCCTGATTCTCCTGTTTTGCTAGTTTAAAAAAAAAAAAAATGTTAATGAGAACTGTTGAAGTCTGCACAAATCGATGAAAACACACAGATAGCAGGTGAGAGATAAATAAAGCAACAAGGATATGAGTTTTTTTTGTTGTTGTTGTTTTTTTTATCCATAACATCTAAAATCTGTTGTTGTGTCTGGAAGCAGTTATGTATGTGAGTGTGTTGGATATGTGTGTGTGTGTGTGTGTGTGTGTGTGTGTGCT